TATTCGAATTTTTTGATCATAATTATTAACTAATATCTCTCAGATATTATGATCCTAATAAAAATATATAATTATATTTATTTTGAATTTATATCTAAGAATATTCCCGTCAGAGATTATATTTAATATTTTATTTATATAGATATCTTATATAGTTGCCTTTTCAGAATAATCATATCTATATTATTTATATAATATCATAATAGAGATCATTTGATTCAATCCTAATATAAATTCAATTTAAGATAATCATATGATTTTGCTCAAAAATCATTTGTATTTCGAAAAAAAACCAGAAATATCTAAACCTCGATTATCGAAAATTATTCTTTAAATCTCAATTTGTATTTAGACCTATTAGTTCCAATAACGAGGAGAAATTTAAATTTTCGGTATTTCATTAAATTTTAAATAAATTCAATTTCTTATATGAGAACTAGCTAGTTAGTATCTTCATAAAAAATTTCTTATAAATATTCAACCTCCAAATGAATTTTATTTTCGAAATAATATAAATTTTCTATATTAAATAGTTTGGGCGATCTCGCCTCCCAGATTAATATATGTTTATTATCTTATAAAATCAATTTTTCTGAATCCAAATAATCGTGCATATATCATAGTCTTGGAATAAATAATATGATATATTATTTAATTCAATCTAATAATATATAAATATGAAATTAAAGAAATATAAATAATATCATGATAATAATTCGATAAGAAAATAAATTAAATAAATATTTTGAATTTCTATAATAAATATTTCTTATTTATATTCATCTAATATATCGAATATAAGTATAACAGATGAATAAATAAGATATCAAATTTCGAAAATTATAAATATATCTATGCAAATATAGATCAGAAATAAATTAATCAAAAAAATAAATATAGAGATAAAATTATAAATATAAAATAAATTCCCTAATATTTTTAGCGCTCAAAAATAGAATTATGAATTATAAATCGTCATTATTTTAAGAGAAAATATAAATTATAAATTAAAAATGATCGTAAATAAACATACCGAAAATGCATACCTATACGTACAGACACACACAAAGACACATACAGAGACACACACACACACGGAGATACATTCAGAGACACCCACACACGCACACACACGCACAGACACACAGAGAGACACCCAAAGACACTTGCATTCAGAAAGCACGGCACTGGAGCCGCTGCCAGAAATCTACAGACTTGTATTATCACGAGAATGTCCTCCTAAAGCTACCAAACTTTGAAAAAAAATGCTACAAGATTTCATATAGCTCCTAAAATCTTTAGGAGCTTAGTACCCGGAACTAACTGCTCGCGGAACTAAAATTTCCAGGATTTCGTCACGTGAAATGACCATACAAGAGGTTTTCAAGAGGAAACCATCAGAGGACCAAGTTACAGGGGACCAAGGGCGCGGATAGAATCACGGACGCAAGCAGCACGAAATCTTTCTCTTGGAGAATTAGTTAAATATATATTTTCTTGTTTATATCCAATTTCGCTAAAATCATCAAAACATTTATTTTTTAGTTATATCTAAATATATTATATCAGAATATAGATACAGAAGTCTCAGTGTCGAGACATCAAAAATCATAATCATAGAATAGATTACAGAAAAGATTCTTTTGTAAAACATATCATTCATATTCTATCTATCAATTGTCATTCAATCTGAAATATATCTTAACGGCTTATGATCTCTCTTATTCAGCTAGGTGTTGCGGCTTGACAAGCGGATTTGTCACGGCTTCTGGTAGCTCAAATGTGTCGAAGTGCCGTCGTCCCGGATTCTACATATCAGGGGCTCATCTGGAAGCGAGGCGAAGGAAGTTTGGGATGAAGTCGAAGCGCTCATTGAGGGTAGCCCCACTTAGGGTAGGGCTTCGTCTCGTCCCCCATGCCGATGGTATCTTGAAACCGCTCCACTGAATCATCCCTGCGCAGTTTGCGGAAGACAGGAGCCTTCTCCATCCACTCCGGCACAAAGCTGGGGAAGGACGAGTAAGGATCTGGCTCGTTGAGTTCCGGATACTTTCGAGCCCGTCGGAACTGCTGATCCCAGTCATCGAACTTTGACTCCAAGAAGTAGATCTGCGGAATGGCCTTGCGCCTCTTCCATCTCTTGGCAAGAGCGGTCTTCAGCTTGCCCTTATGTCGTGACAACCACACGAAGGCCTGTCGCTGCTCGAGTTTGTCCCCCGACGCGGCGACGTGGATGTAGGCAGCTCGGCAGCCCCGGCTCATGATGACATCGTGGACTTGAAGACGGTATTGCATGTCCTCGTCACCCATTCTCTCAAGAGACACTTCGCAGGCGTTGAAGATCTCCTCCACAGTCTGCCTGAGGTATGAGGCAACCCGAGCTTGATTCCGCGTCTCGATGTGTTTCACACCCTTGGGATCTCGCGCGTGCCAAGCGAAGCCATGTCTAGGAACTGCTAGCTCCTGCTGCCTTACCCCCGGAGGGTGCAAGCTGGTGCCAGTGAAAGCCGTGTGCCACGTGGCGAACACGAGCAATGCGAGCAGGCCACAGGTGCGCTTGAGCAACCTTAGTTGCCGGTTCATGGGTCATGGGTGGTTATGACGGCGATTATAAGTCCCCTATAAAAACCCTAAACCCTAAACCCCTAAACCCCTAAACCCTAAACCCTAAACCCATATGGTTATCCTAACTTAAGACCCCACTTATAACGACCCATGGACCCAGCTACTTCCAGTCCCTCGCAAAGTCTCCGAACCTGAAAGAGACCTCCAAAACTCAAAAACTTCAACCACGAAGCCAGTGGTTTAGTTTAGGGTTTAGGGGTTAGGGTTTAGGGTTTAGGGTTTAGGGTTTAGGGTTTAGGGTTTAGGGTTTTAAGGTTTAGGGTTTTAGGGGTTTGGGGTTTCAGGGTTTGGGGTTTAACCCCAAACACCCTAAACCCCAAAAAGCGTTTCAAGGCCGGGGCGCAGAGGCTGCCAAAGCTTGGGCACTGGTCCGCTCAGCCCATGGAAGCTCATTTTAGCAACCCCCTCGTTCCAAAACTCAGACGGAGGGTGTAACGAACACTAGCAATTATTGTATACATAGAGCAGTAATACTGCCGTGCCGTTATTATTTACATATAGAAGCAGTCGGAATAATAGAGAGAATGGAATGGTAATACACCTAAGTCATCTAAGGGTGTGGGTTCACCTCGGGTTAAGAGAATGAATGCCTAGGATGCATTTAGGATGAAACTGACGGCGTTTTTGCTGTTGCCAACTTCGAGCCGTGGTCATATTTACGGATCATGGGCATCCCACGTAGCGTTCATGAAGAATTGTCCTGACTCTATTCAGTGGTAGAAGTCTACTGCTGAAACTGGTTCCACTTCATTGCCTAGGAAAAAACATGGCCCCTCATCTTGCTCTGGTCCCAGAAACACTACAACCAAAAAAGACTGTTGCGAAGCAAATTTTCCTGCGGATCAAGCCCTAAAGCCCTAAATCCCTAAACCCTACACCCTAAATCCCTAATCCCTAAACCCTAAACCCTAAACCCTAAATCCCTAAACCCTAAACCCTAAATCCCTAAATCCCTAAACCCCTAAACCCTAAACCCTGGTTGACTTTGTCCAACTGCAGACAAGGGGATAAAGAGCTATAGAAGCAACCCAGGCCTTCCTCCACGACGGGTTTCACATGATAATGTCCTTGGGGGCTGAGTACCTTAGCCCAAAAAAAGTTAACCTTTCGAATTATAGTAGGATTATAAGAGCCCCAAAAGGTTAAAGGTTACCTACTCAGCCGCTAAGTGTAGGGTTTTTTGGGGGGTTCCTTTAAAAAGGGTTCCGTAAAGGGGTTCTTTCAGGGCTACTTTTAGGGTTTAGGGTGTAGGG